TTATTGGAGAGTAGGTTTAGATTAGACATCCGCAAGAACTACTTCACAGTTAGGGCGGCTAGGAGCTGGAACCAACTTCCAAGGGAAGTGGTGCTGGCTCCTACCCTGGGGGTCTTTAAGAAGAAACTTCATGCCTACCTGGCTGGACTCATTTGAGTCCAGTTTTTCTCCCACCCAGGCAGGAGGTCGGACTTGAAGATCTACAAGGTCCCTTCCAACCCTACTTCTATGACACTATGATTTATTGTATAGCTTATCAATCGTCCTTACTACCTCAGTCTAGGGTCTTCTGCAGGGGCATACTGATTCTCTACAGCACCCAGCTGTTCTGACCATGTGCTTAAGAATAATCTTGGTGAAGGGCCTGCCTTCAGGTATCCACATACTTCCTGTAGCTTTCCCCACCCTGGCTAGATATATCTTGTCAGAGCTTCCCTGCTTCCCCAGCTCTCTACTCCAGCTTAGTGACTTGCTGGCCTCAATCACCTGACCTCTGGATAATTAGTTTGATCTAGAAGGTAACTGATAGATCACAGCTGATGCTGGGTGCAATTCCCCTTAAAGAACCAGCCATTCTATCACAAAGCCATAGCCATATTTCCTCTGCAGTTTCAGACAAAGCATCATCCCTCACCCCTTACACTACACACTGCTGTGTAGTGTAACAAAATGAAATGCTAACTAGTTAGATTCTTACCTTTTTGGGAATACTGATATCGCTCATAGTGATCTTCATTCCCTGTTGAATAATCATACTGTTGCCCAAGTAGTTCTTCAAAACTAAGAAGAAAATATGTTTTGAATGTATTTTTTCGCCCAATTAAAGACAGCAGGCCAGTTCATACACATTCCCCACAAAAGCTTAGAGGAAAAGAGGCTTTAAATAGTTGTAGTACAAATTATCTGTAGTTGTCACAACACTCAAGTGTCAGTTAATCCAGAGCTCTTAGTCTTTCCATAAATCTTAAACTTCTAATTTTAAATGATTTTAGAAACCGACATTAGCTTCACCAGAACTAAATTCACATGTAACATTTTTTTCCTGTCAACTGGTATGTTTGGGTAGGGTCTTCAGCTACGCAAACGCACCAAAGAAATTTACACAAACATTTTAATTACCAGTGATAAATGCAATATGTAACATACAATATTATCTGACTTCAAGTTTTGTCTAAGATTACGTTTGGCATTGGAAACTTCCCTCTGCTAAAGCCAAATTATACATTTATACAAAAGGAAAAAAGATTTTTAAAAAACCATCCTCATTTTCATGCACCCATCTTCCCCAAGTGTGCCACAATTACCCTAAGCTCTGTCATTAAAACCTGTGGATTCCTTTGTGCAGATGGGGGGTGTTTAGTAGGGTCTGCACCTATGCCAGATATGGTTGTGCTGGAGACTCTAAAATTATTTGTAAGCCCCGGTTACCCAGTATTTCACCAGATATGTCCAGGGATGTTCAGAAAGGATGTCTTACTCCTCCACTCAGCAGTCAATAAGCTGATGCTACAGGAATCATAACCATAAAGCTGCTGCTATCCACCCAGACTCTAAATTAATTTTCTTCCAGCTTTTCCTAGGCACTAGCAGCTACTCACTGCTGTGGATTCCTATTCCTTCAGGTCCCAGAACCAATCCACTCTCCCTCTTCAAACTCATTGCCACACAAGTTCCCTGAATTCTGCACACCAACTACCTATTCCTCCATTTCTCTTACACAGACAGAAGGTTGTTATATCAGGCCCCACCCAGACATTATACTTAAGATGCGATTAAACCCAGCCATATGTTCATGCAATTAATGGTGCAACAAAACACAAAACCAGCCATAAAATTATTACACAAGTGTTGTGTAGTAATTTTGTGTCTGCTTTCCTTTGTGCCTTAAAATGAATGTGCAACAGGGTGGACCATACCACGACTCAAATGCATCCCAGTCCAGTCCCTGCTGGCTGCTAATCAGCTAGCTCTGGGATGGCACCAGGGCCCATTTGAGCCCTGGTGCAGTCCCAATGCTGCTACCAGTTAGCTGATCCTTGGCTGACAGGGACTGCATTAGGGCTCATAAGTCAGGGTGCCAATCAGGTGATTGCCAGCTGGCAGGGACTGCATCAGTCCTGAACCTGCCAGTAATCAGCTGATGAACAGCAGCATCAGGAGCCGCACTGATGCTGTCAACCATCAGCCAATTGTCAGCTGGCAGGGATGGTACCATGGCCAGTTCAAGCCTCAGAAACACCCAGCTGCTCCTGATCTAGCCAATGATCATCTGGCTGCAGGGGTCAAACTGGCCCAGTTGGTCCTTGGAGGCAGCCAACAATCAGCTGATTGTCAGGCACCTTTTGCCAGCAAACAGGGAGCCTGAGATCATGATTGTAAGTTCCCCCTGCACTACAGCAAAATCAGGTGTGATTGGGGTCTGGTTCCTGATCCCAAAATTGCATGTCCTGGCATGCATGTGCACCATGGAAGGAGGTGTAACTGTTGGGATTGTGGATCAGATCCCATGATGCCCTTAACTGAACATCTGTCTAAAGCCTCAGCTTTCAGCCTAGGGCAGAGAGAGCTAGCACCAACCACAACCTAAGAAATATAAAACATGCATTTTATGTTTAGCTAAAACATACTAAGTGCATTAAAAACATTTAAAACAATTCCTACCTCAGACAGCTTACATGATATGGTAAGGCGATACAAGAAAGAGATAGCAAGATCTCTATGCTTAGACAAATTTAAAATCTTACTAGCAAGTACAAGAATCATTCCATTTGATTGCAATGCAGTTATCTCAGGAAGAGGATGACACTGCACTTCAGTGCACTGGATGACTGTGGTTTATAATATGAAACTACCCAGAATGGGAGAGTTTCTTGTTAGAGGATTTCTTATTGACACTCCAGGATGCTGTTTTGAAAGCTACACAGAAGTAGGGTTATGGTTTGTTGCTTTTAAATGGGCAAGATAAAAAACTACCACACTTGAAGAGGCCAGGAAAAGTCAACTCTCCACATAAAAGAACAGCTTGCATATCTCCATTTTACCAACCTCAGTTGAGAAGCAAGTTCTTTTTTTTAAACTCTACAGCTTTGTGGAGTAAGATCTAGGAGATCAGAAAGTTTTTGGATGCATATGAGCTTGTTCCATGAGATCCATTGCCTAGATTTAATGAAATCTCATTTGCCTTAGCACTGTTGAGCAAAAATTATGTTCATTGTTGTTCATCCATATGACTAAACAAGGAGAAGTATTTATCTTAAAGTCAGTTTTCCTAAATGTCAGCCTTTCAGCTCAATATTTAAAAAGGGCAGCTTACCACATCTTCAGTTTTCTTTACCCTTATTATATCTTGGATTTAAAAAATGAATCAGCTAGTGTGTGTAATACTGCTTTGGTTATTTTTGCATTCTTTTGCATTCCTCATCCTGAAAAAATATTACGTTGGTCAGTGTCACTTTCTATTTAAGCCTGCAAACACTGACGTACATGCTTAAGTTAACTGAATACTCTGTACAAGTTGAACCAGATGCAGTACTTTGTTCAGATAGTCAGTCTTATATTTAAAGTTTAATTTTGGGTGACCAGAAAATCAATTAGAAGTTACGAAGCCAAGTTATTTTGCAATTTAAATCACTCTAACCTTTAATCCAACTTGAAGGCAAACACATTATCAATGTATTTGGCATTAAATTATAGCTGTCAAACTGTTCAGTTTTAGTATATTTTTACATTACTTGTGTAGCAGTTCAATTTTTAAAATAAAAATATTTCTATGTGACATTCTGATTAAGTTTACACTTTGTTTTCATGACAGCTCTACAGGGACAGCAGTCATATAATCTTATTCCAACATACTTCTATAGAATATGAATACATATATATCTTTCAAATTAATAACATGTAATAGTATTCACAATTCTAGTTCAATTTACCTGAACAAGCTTTCTTACGTGTTTAAAATTATCAAATAGGGTGCTGTCAACATAAAAAAAAAAAATCACTTACTATTACTGGCAAAAACTGAAAATTAGATTACAGTATTTCTCCCCAGGTTACTTACCTTTTGTGTTTTATTTTACATAGTCAGTTTCACTGTTTGCACTGGATAATCAATTTCTCCTATCTAAAAGAATATCACAGCAACAGATGAAAAGTCATTTAAAGGTTGGAAAGTGGGATTACAGAACTACCAAAAAAACTGCAGGATGACCTTGGGGAAATAAAGTACCCAGAAAAAAAGGTTATGTATCTAAAGTATTTTTGGCTTTTCCAAGTGTGTTGACTATATATGCCACTGATAGCAGGCAAGCATCCTATGCCTTCCAGTTCAGATTTCATTAACCAGCAATGACCAGTGGGTGGCTATGCCTCTATTCTGCCATGTCCCTACGCATTTAACTGAAGGCAGAAAAACAAAGCAACCTAAATGTCTCTCAGTTCCTTTGCCAACCAGTCACAGTATAGGTGTCCAATGCATTTGGGAGAAACACAGCTACTGTAAGGTAAAGATACACTTCTCTGAGGGCTTCTGCAATTGTACTCCACCCAAACAATGAACTAATGTTATAAAGTGGGTAGAAGACTACTAACTCTAAGCCCCCCTCTACACCTGCAGGTAAAGGCGCAATCAGATCTAATGCATGATCCACACAATTGCACCACAGGGCATGACTGTCGGATAATGCATTAGATACTGTTGCGCCTTATTGCTGATGCTGGGGGAGCCTCAGCAAGAAGCAGACTCGCATGGCTTGGAGCCCCTTTGCTGAAAGGGCTCCCAGCCACAAGGACCACGTGCAAGCAGGACCTGGCAGGGCTTTCAGTCCCTGCTGCCCATGTGGCACATCTGGGACCAAAAGTCCCACACTCCTATGCGGCACAGCCAGGACCAAGAGTCCTGTCAGCTGCAGGATTCTCCATCCCTGCAGCTGTGGGATCCACAGCTGAGAGATCTCAATGGCTCAAAGATTGCAGCAGCTGAGATCTTACAGCTGTAGACTGCCTCTATATGCAAAGTAAAGCTGGACAGAAACCAGCTATAATGTTTTTACACAATTTCAAGCAATAACTTTATATCTGGTTGGACCTTTTAAAGTGAGAGGGTTAATCTGTGCAGTCAGTCTAAATTTATCAAGCAATTAACAAGGTAATTGTGCAACACGTATGTGTAGAGCGGGCCTAAGACATTTCAGTCAAAATAAGAATTATACGTATGTTTCTACAATGAAATTCAATACCAGTATACAACAAGTAGCTGTCCCTGAATGGTTTTACTATAGACACACTGCTCAAAAGATTCTACTGTGGACACCTGAGCCCTGCTGAAATGGGATGAGACTTTTTTCTAGTGAGTTTACTGGTCAATTTATGAAATAAATCTAATACAGCCAGTAATGTAATTAGACAAATCTGAGACAAAATGTGCTAACCTTTTAACATTTCTGCATAAACAAATACTCTAAGGAGACACCCTCAACAGCCTAGTCCTATCTAAATAGAATGGCAGTGCTGTATTAACATCTGAAGTGTGGAGCTTCATACTTCAGTGCGGAGCTTCACACTTCAGTGCAAGAATATGACTCAGAGAAGAAAGCAGGGAAATTCAATTCAATCACTTGAATGAGATGGAAGTTGTGATATTTTAAGATACCTGAGAAAAAATTCTTAAAGCTACCCTGCCCTTACAGAAGATAGGATTAGACCTGCCTTAAGGACCTGCATTTCTTTCATACTGTTGGGATGGGGGAAAATTGAGTATCCTTGAATTGGAGGGTGATTGGCTGACTTGTCTTCCAAGTAGACCCTTCTGTAAAAGAGATCAACACAAGTAGAAAAATCATAGCTAGCCCCATGTTCTATAATAATAGTAGACAGTATATGAAATCTGAAAACAGAACCTCTAAAAAGATATCATTGGTAGGGGTTGGTCCAGTCAGTAAAACTTTTCAGTGTGGCAAAACACAATAGTGTTCTTTCCACTATTAGTAAGGGATATTTGGACTTCTGATTAAGACCTTCTTTGCCAGCAGCCATCAAGCATCCATATGGTAAGACTTCTGGGGAGCATGGCACCCTCTTAAGATATCAGGTCTGGTTGAAGATGCAACAAGAATGGATCTCAGTCAAAAGATTCAAGTACCAAAACTGTCCTGACAAAGATGGTGACAGCAGTGTCTAGACAGAGACCTACCTGAGTTTTCCAATTCACTTCAGAATTAGAGGAAGTGGAGAAGCTGTGTACATGAGGGTAGGATATCAAGAAATCAGGAACATATTTGAAACAAAGCCTGTTCTATACCTAGTCTGCAATGAAACCTGCACTGTTCATTTTTGCAAACAGATATACATGGAGGTTTGACCCCGATAGTCAACCAGCTCTTTACCCATTCATTCGCTATTGCTTTTAAATTGCCTGCTCTCATAATTGGCCAGAACATCTTGTAGATCTAGCATGGGGAGAACAACTAGAATTCATGTCATAATTGTTCAGAGATGCACAGCACCTTGATATGGAGGGGTGAATCTTGTTCCTTCCTGTATAAAACTCTGCTGTGCCATCCATCAATATCTGACTAGATGACTCTCTCAGAATTAGAAGGAATGGCTATGAAAGCAAAACAATTTTTTTTCACTCCACAATGTTCATGTACAGCCAGACTTCTTGATGTTCATAATGCAGATGGAGTTGTTCATACCCCTCCTGGACTGCTGGAGGGATGGATTTTGGTAGCAACAGACAAACTACCTTCCCTTGCAAACATTCACAGGATCCTTCCTGACAGAACTATCATGTTTTTCTCTAGCTGATGTATGTTGGATTAATATATTACCTTCAACCAACAATGGCACAAAGCAAAGGCGAACTTTAGCATGCTGAGTTATATAGATGGACAAAGTCATGTGACCAAAGAATTTGAAACCAGCCTTCAATAAAATTTGAAGATGCATTTGGAGTCGACCAATTACTTTACTGTGTCATGGAACATTCCTGAGACAAGTAAGCCCTTGCTGTACTTAAATGCCAAAACTGTTAATAAGAACTGTATTCTTTGAATAAGGATTAAAACAGATTTTCTCTCATTCACCCCAACTCTTGGAAGGTTTGGAAAACAAACAGGCTGCTGAACAAAAGTCTGAGGGACCTTGATGTCTGCAGTCTATGATGGAATGAAACATCATAGGGATCTGCAAGATGAACATTTGAAGTGGTCTGAACCTTGCAGACAATGCTTGGTGTCAACACTGCCTATTTGTACATTGGTCCTAAAGAACCGATGTCTGTCTGAGCAGCCGTAAAGGATCTAAGAGACTTTCATTAATTGAGACTGTCATGAAATGCAAGATGAGCAGGAGCTTACGTAATCTCTCTTGTACAACCCTAGTCAGTCTCTAAGTTCTGAGGAAGGACACATTAATCCTTTTCTGAAAACTGAGCACCTCTCAACTATGTGCCCCTCTGTCTCATATACCAATGCATTACGCCTCTGGACCATTTTAAAGCTCTATGGGGGAATAGAAAATTTGCCAGAAGAGCTATGGTGACTGTAGTACATGATATTTTCATGGCCCTAGCTGATCTAGGTCCACCAGCAGACCTTCACACTGTAGAAAAGGGTTTAAACTTTGGAGGCTGCTCTGTCATTGCAGGCAAGAAGTGGTACACTGGCCAACCTCTCAAGAAAGTGACAGAATCCCCAAGCTAGAGAACAAGTAGAAAACATTACCCTAATCACTAAACTATAAAACTATCTTGCACACAATATCTACAAACAAATAAGAAGGCTGTTCAGTGCTCTGAACAGATGCCAGAGCTCCATTTGAAGCATAGTTGGTTGGTTAGAATGACCTGAAGGGCAAGTCCAGTCATCCAGTACTTGGATGAAGACATGAAGAAACATGCAGCCCCAATGCACCCTGCTGCTTAAAAGTCTGCAGTGGGTGTACGCATCATTAGTGGAATATATGTTTTAATATACATCACAGACAAACATTCCCTCAAGTAACTACTTTTAATTTGTACATTGGCAAGATTTTCCTGAAGCAAAACAAAAGTGATTGCCATTTTAGTAAATGATTTTAAAGCCATTTGGAGATGACAACTAAAAAGCATGCTTGTAATGTTTTTAGCTCCAGAGACTCTACAGTTAGGACTGCACTTGAGTAGGGAACATTTAAAAATGTTAACCTCAAATAAAAAATGGTTTTTGAGAGGTGACATTCTGTTCTGTAAAACTGAAAGAGATTACAAATTTTAAGGGTACGGGAAATGCTGGGCACTATTACTACTAGTCTCTCATTTGACTAGTTGCAAGGTGCTAAGAAATTCAGCCACATCTAAACATTTAAGTTGTCAAAATGAACTGGATAACATAATAGAATTTTAACAGTGAAGAGGAGGAAGTGTCGGGCTGTTTTCTATTATAACTGAACATAGTAGAAAACCATGGCATTTGCATACAAAAAAAACAGACCACACTGAATTTACTGTGTCCCTCAGCGAGTCCTCAGGCTTGCTGCCCTGTTCCAGGAGGTGCCTCTTAACCAGAAGCAATATAGCCATATATGCAGGCTTTTATTCAGGCCAGTAATTTCAGACACTGCGCTAATTAGTCCAAAAGAGACACAAAGTAGATGTGGCTACGTATTTTCAGTTTTCATGCAGCATGTTAGGTGCAGTCTGCTTGAGGGTACCACTCTCAGGCACAGTTAAGTTTGCTATGTAGACACAGCCATGGGGCTTAAGCAAAATCTATAAAACCATTGAAGTTCTTGGAGTAGATTGCTAATAGCCAGTCAAGACTCAGACTGGTATTACAGTTCATTAGCATGGTATCTTCAATAGACAGCTTTCTCCTACAGAATTAATTCTCTGAAAGCTTACAGTCTAGAGTTTTGTGGATTTCACAATGCAAACGTGCTACCAGTTATACCACTGGGTACTTATACAGCTAACTGTGTTATACTAGGTACATTAGAATTAAAAAGTGCACAAGAGCACTAGATAAAGTGAACAGATTAGGAGAGTTTCATTCTTACAGTCTTTAAAAGCTTTTGGTACTAAATACATTGGAAGTTCACAAAACTTTTAGATAATTTTATAAATGACTAGCCAGTTGCCTGTGATGGGGGAGGGGATGGGGCCGGGATGGAGTGCTGCCACCTAACACCCCATGCTGCCGCTGTTCTGCCTCTTGCCCCGCCCTCTGTCCAGTCCTTGGCTCAGCTTTGGAATCGTGGCAGTGCTCCCCTACGCTTGGAGCCCTCTGATTGGCTGTTTCCGTTGGATTTATGGCATGACAGACTTCGGCTTTTATAACATTAGAATTATTGTACTGAAAACATCTTACCTATTAAGATCTTCAAAGTCCTTTGAATAACCATCTGGAGGAGAATAAACACTCTTCTGGTATGGTTTGTAAGGATTCATACTAAAAGATGCAAGAAACATAAGATTAGGTAAAGGCTACCAAGTGAACCTTTGCTTGGCTGCCATCAAAAGGTCTTGTTTAACACATTGATAGTCTAACATGATTACAACTTGGAAAAACCATCATATTTGGTTTTAATAGCAGAATACAGTTATAGGTTCTGTTTTATAACAGCTGCAAATATTAAAGTTGAAGAAAAAAAAGCTTAATTTTTTTCTCATTGAGCTTTAAGCTAAAAAAATCTGCCACATTCCTTTGCCTATCTTAGATAACTGTTTTGTGATATACTATGAAGTAGTTACACTTTATCCACAATCAGTTTCTTCTGACAGTCCATTAAAAAAAAAAAAAAAGACTAAAACAACTACTGATATCACATCAGTTATTGTGAAAGCTGCAACCCCTGACAGAAGTTTTCCTAAAGCTTTTGATGATCCACCACTTCCCCTTGAACCTATACATACAACCAAACTTAGAACTTGAAGCTCATACAGCTAAGCATGTGTGAATTCCTGGATGCAAAAAAAAAAGTCATGTTAAGACTTCACTGACTTCCCCCCAAAAGATAAATATACCTGCTTAAATAAATGTAAATTAAGCAAGGTATTTCAAATGTAATAGTTCATCATTTTTATCCCGGTTTATTTCCTTATATATCATGAGCTGTCTAACGCTAGCTAATAGGGCTGTGCAAAGCTTCGGTCTCCAATTCAATTCAGCGGAGACTGGCCCAATTAGGCGGCCGAATCCCCAAATTGAACCAGAGGACTCTTGAATCTCTCCGAATCAAATCAGAACCCTCCCCAATTGATTCAGAGAGATTCAGTGATTCGGACAAACACAGCTTTAAATGTTTTTTCTACATATCCCTAGGTAGCAGGTGGCTTGTGGATGCTGCAATAATGCGGCACATGGAGTGTCCCATAGAAGCATAGGGGCTCCCTAGCACGCTCGGCAGCAGACCCAGAAGCGGACCAGAAGCACTTCTGGGTCCACCAGGGAGCACCCTGGGGGCCCCCCCCTGCAGCCGATCACTGAGCCAGGTAGGCGTGGGACCCCCCCATCATGCTCCATGGCAGACCTGGAAGTGGACCAGAAGTATTTCCAGTCCACTTCCAGGTTCGCCGCCAAACACATGGAGGGTCCCCCCATGCTCCTGTGGGACAATCCATCCACCCCAGCATCACAGGGTTCACCAGCCACACCTGGTACCTCAAGGTATGTAGAAAAAACATTTAAAGCTGTGTCTATGTCTGAATCACTGATTCTGAGAATCGGCATCAAATCTTCAGATTCAGATTCTGCCAAACCAGACAGTGATCCGAATCAACGAATCAAATTACTGTCCCTGATTCTGTCCGAATCCGAATCGAATAAGGACCACTTCACACATCCCTACTAGCTAATCTAAAGCTCTTTTCACATACAGATCATAGCTGAGAGTCCCACTTCACTTTTTAATACTTTTATTACCATGGGTGGCAAGTGTTTCTCCACGGAGATTTGGATCCAACTGCACTACACGTTATATTAACAATGAAACAAGGTCCTTGCACCAAAAGAACTTACTATCAAAAACAAGCAACATATACAGGGTGGTAAGGAGAAAGAAAATATCTACTTACACAAACATACACATTCTACTGCACTAGATTTGCTTTCAAAATGAATAATGAGTTTAGTTTATGTATTCCAGTTGGAAGAATTAAGTTTTCCTCAACAGGCAAGGAAAATTACTAGAACCCTTAATAGAATGCATCTCTAGCTTCTATAAAGCATTTAACTTCCACGCCTAAGAGAAGAGCAAGACAGAATTTCTGAGACAGGAAGGATCAGAATTATTATCTGAAACATGTTCACACTGAGGTGGCCACAGAAGAGTACTGTTAAGAAATATATTAGACATCGGTGGACCAAGTGTCAAGGATGATTTTTCTTTTTTTTAAATGAGTATTTATACTTGACAATTCTTTGTCTCAAGTAGACAGTGTACAATAGGAAGGCTGGAGGATAAAAGGAATAAGCAAATGGCTCAGTGTAAACACTGAAAGAAGCTGCTGTGAATGGGATCCAAAACTGAATAGAATGATACCTAAAACATTATTTGAGAGACCAGAAGAAATTCAATGTGTACTTAGAATCCAAGAGGCAATTAGCAGAAAAACAAAAATTAAAGCATCAGATCTTTACAGGAAAGAAGAAATCTTGAAAAAATTAACAGACATATGACTTCAATTGAAATAAATACAGTAGCATGTTTAAAATTAAATTTGGTTCTCTCTCAAAATTACAAATCATCAACACTTGCAAGATGGTACTATTAGTTGAAAAACTGCTTTGGACTTCCTTATCCAGGAATTCACTATATGGCCTAGATGCACCATGAATGCTTGGCTACAGGCCATGCACTTTGACTAGCCTGGGCCAATTTATCACAGACCAAATGGTGCCAGCAGCAGATGGTACAGATTAGCAGGCGTGCAAGCACAGAAGTGCTAATTTCTAGGGAGCTGGCAGCTATAAGACTGATAGAAACCCTACAATATTACTCTGTTGCACTTCATAGCCAATGCTGGTATTGGCTGCTGCTACTGTTGAGGTAGAAAAAAAGACAAGGATAACAGTGCATATGAATCATGGTCCTAATGTCTGTCCCCAAGTTCTTCAGCCAAAAATGAGAGATGCTTCCACACTTAAAAGATTAGTTTAAAATCTTAATTTCTCTAATAATAGTTTGAGTTTTTTATTAATCCAAAATTTTTGATACAATATGGTATTAGTCTGGAAGCTGAAGTGGATAATTCTAAATAAAACATTGTTCTCCTAAATAAAGACCTTGTTGTTTTTTTTAATTCTACCTATTACCAAAAAAATAAATTTAGAGGAAGCCAGTATAAAGGTGTGACCTTAAAATTTGGGATTTCTTCAAAACAGTCATACTAAAAAGGTCATTAGAAGTATTAATGCACCTCTCAAAATACAAAGAAATCAGACCAATACAAAAATGCTGCAGTCACTATTAGCATTATAAAACAGAATATGAAAACTTGGGAAGGGCATGAAGATGGAGACTGAAAAGAAGCTTCTTGGGAATGGAACAAGTGGGAGTAGAAACTGGGGAAAGAAGCCAAATACATATTGCAACTTGACTGATCAAGAACTCAACCTAACTTGTATTAAGGGAACATTAAGAAAAAATTAACAAGAACTGTAATATGGCTCGCTCTAACATTTTCTAGAAGAGTTTTATTTGGTGTCATAAAAATAAGATACTGAGAAGAGCAAACAAGTTAACACTTACAAATAGAATGCACAGTAGCGTCTTTACATACAAAGCCAGATGAAGGAAAAACAGACTATTCCAGACTCAACAAACCTGTTACAGATTACTTACTCCAGAAGGTGTGGACTCCATCCGGGTCTACGCCTGGACCCAAAAATCAAAAGAGCTTGGGTTAAATGATGTTGAAGACAAATGGTAAAAAAAAAGCAGTTTAGTCACTACTAGATTAGAAAATGTGCAAGTTTCTTCATCTGCTCAGATTTTAGATAACTTGCTTTTAAATTATCACTAAATGGTTTAAAGAATGATTGATAAGATAAAGAAAAAAAATGAAGTTAAGCTAAGTATGTAGAAGTGCATGTATGCAAAATCTACTTGCCTCAATCCTAGGGAAAAAAAAGAGCAAAGAAAGAGGAGCTAGCTGCCCTGAGCCTTTCCAGGTAAGGCAGAACATAAATCTAAATAATAAACAGAATACACAGATGGACTGAAAAATTTAAAAAAAATCAAACACTGATCACACTTTTCATGCCATGAATTATAACCTTACATTTCACTGGTTGGGCAAACTGTCTTTAATTCTCCACTTAGAAGTGTAGTTTAGTATTATATAACTCAAGAAATGGATACAAAGGAATTTATATATGTGTATACAATCCACATAGAGATGACCCAAATAGCTGCACTGTTGATATCTGACTAAAGATCTGCCATTTAAATATAAATGAAGGGTAGTTGATAAACCTGTTATATCCTAGATGGAATTCAGTGGATTTTATTTCAAATCATATTTTTTGTAATATAATTTGTTATTCAGTTATCTAGCATAACTATGCTCCCAAACAGGAAACTTGGATCTTTTTACCAAAAATGTCCGTAGCTACATGTATATTAAAAAAAACTTTTCAGGGAAATAAGAACTTGGAAAGAAATAAAAGGTGTAGTTTCTTGATAAACTTAAAACTTTATAGACTTGTTTAGTATTGCAATTTGAGTAGAAAGTAACCTCATGTTACTAAATGAACTTTAGTTCTTTTAGGTGCTTTATCCTCAACTTGGGATGAAATAGTTGCTGTCGTAAACAGATGAATTTATAAAAAAAAACCTGAACTACCTGCAACAGTCCATAAATATTAGTCAGTTGCATCTTGAAACATTAACATTCCACCTATAAAATGATATCCTGCATCAAGAGGATGGTTTATATAGGAGAAAAAGCAATTTTAAGCTTGGAAAAACAAAAACGTGAACAGGCAGTAGTTTATGAGCATTAGATTATGCTTGAAGTAGAAATATGAGATAGAGAAACAGATACTAAAGTTCCTGAACCTCAAGGGAGATCTCCCCTGCATCCCATACTAAAGAAGAGATACATGACATATCATTCTATACCGATAATGAACATTTCTTCAGATCCTCAGTTTTGGATAATCAGTTTAGATAATTACTTAACAATCCAAATTAACTCTAAACCTTTCTGCGTAGGCTGTTAGGTTTAAGGTGCCACAGGTGCATGGGACAGGGACAGCTAGGAGAAGACCAATAGATTCATTAATTCTAAGAAACAAATTCTTCAAACCACAATGGTAGTGTTAGAACAGCTGCTTCATCTTCCTTCATTTACTTTGTTTTTTCCTCAAACTTGAAAAAGAATATACTGCTCGTCTATTTCAGCCAAGCAGTTCAACCAATTAAAGTTCTCACCTACAAAATTCTCTCTTCTCGCACTGTTTCATTTGCCTCTTTATGTAAATTCATTGAGTCTCCAGATGACCAGAGTATCAGTATCTAACTGCAAGAGTAACCCTATTAGCCAGAGGAAGACACAAGAATTATGTGGGGGCTCCCTACATGAGTGAATGCTAGGAAGAATAACTTGGTGTAAATTTCCTCCTGGTGATGAAAATATATAGAGCTTCATTTTTCAGAAGAGTATCTGACTTCTTGGTATGTGAAAATTTTAAAGCTCCACCAGCTTTCAGGTACGAAGGTAAGGAAGAGAGGAAATGTCCCTATTATTTAATCTTTCCCCAGATTTCAACTGTGTGAAACAATTTTAATGTTGATATATGTTGTTGTTGTCTTTCGTAAGAACCAACAAAGCAAAGTCAATATTCTCAAGGATTTCACTGCTGCTGACAGGGTTCTAAATAATATCAATGGAAGCAACTATTCTTCTAATTTTCACACTGCTGTCAGGCTAACCTATGACATATTGGAGTCATCTGCAGACTCAGGAAAGACCGCTGCAATATTGTTCAGTGGGTCATGCTCACAACATTGCTGGTTTGTTTAAAAAGGAAAGGAAAAAAAGGAAGATGGATGGATTTGAATTCATACTCAGAAAAACCTTCCTACTTGTGAACAAGCACACAGGGTGTCTATATGCATGTTCTGGGGGTGCTTTAGTTAGAGTGGCTCTGAGAGCTGCTCTAATTAAAGCACACAGCCTCACATGTATTCAGCATCCCATGCATCAAAATGGTGGTGGGGACAGTTTAACTAAAGTTTGTTTGATAAGCTTTAGTTAAAACGTTCCCACCACCATTTTGAAATGTGGGGATGCTGAATACATGTGACACAGAGGCTGCTGAAGCATGCTAGTTAGCACGATGGAGCACAGCCAGAGCTTGAGTACAGCCAGAGCACAGGCAGCAGCTGCTGGAGCATGCTAATTAGCATACATTGGAGCAGAGGTCTGTCACGTGTATAGGTGCTCATAGATTTTTAAACCTCGGTGCTCTTGGGGAATGATAGTGGCTCCAGCTGCTCTGTTACTGTGTGAACCTCAGTAAGTTTGTTCAACAGGTACTGCATATAGTCCAAATTTCCATTTTATTCTACAAAGCTCTCTCTTTATTGCATATCACACTCTAGACCATATACTGTATCTACCTGGATCCAAGATGAGGTTCCCCACACCACAATAAGCACGGAGAAAAAAGCCCATCGTCTTAGACTTGCATATAAACCTGGAAAGGGGGTGGTAGAGCTTGCTGCTGTAGCTCTAACTCTGGCCCTGAGCCCAGTTTGGGGCCAGAGTCAGACCCACAGCAGTCACTTGCCCTCCCTCCCCTCTGCCTCAGTTGCCCTCTACAGCTTCTGCCCACCCCTCTGCTCCACACCTTCCCACTTTACTGTCAGGCACAGCCTGGCTCCGGCTCAGGCTGGATTCCCTCCTGAGCACAGAGCACATGGAACTCCATCCCCTACCCAGCCAATCAGCAGTGCCAGTGCTGCTGTGTGGCCAGCAGTGGCTACATTTCAACATGCTGTGCTCCAGAGAGGGAACAGAGTCTGAGCAGCGTCTCACAGTAAGCAGGGTGGGGGCAGAGGGGCAAAGGGGCCAGCTGACCTCCCCCATTGCTTCTTTCCCTGCTGTAGCAGGGAGTGGGGAGGAGGGTGAACTGAAAACCACCCTCTGATAGAATTTTCCAGGTACAGAATCCAACTAACAAATGTATAAATTTTCCATATATAGAACCTAATTACTGGGGAGTAGTCTTAAATTCAGTCATTTTAGATTAGAAAAAACATGATATATTGAACAGTTAGCGATCTTGTAGGCTTCTCCCTCCCCTAACCTTCCTTGCAATATATACAGGTAAGAGAGAAATACAGAGAAGCCAAAACCTTTGAAGACATTGGCTAGTGTTAGCCATGGTAATGCCCTTTTAAGGAAACTATAAATATAGAAGTGAGCTATAATTTTTTTCTTCATAATGCTTAGAAGCGAGGCTCCTGAAGGGATCAATGCTTAATATAGCTTTAGTGGTTACTATTTTCACAGTTTTCCATTTAACTCTGAACTTTTATGCCTACTTCTTTGAAATGCGTACCAAATATTTATTGAAAGATATGCCAAAGTTCATTGAATTATAAAACTGATCTTCCACTAGAATGTCAAACCTATTCTTGCGGATGAGATTTTTCATGCTTAATCTCAGTTCAATGATGCATTTTATTTTTGAGTTATGAAAGTATAAAAAGATACTGCTTTCCAGAACGATTGTTTCCAATTGAAAAACAAGAAGTGATTTAGTTTGGTTTTCAAATTTCTTACATACCTTGAACTTAATCCTTGATATATCTGGAAAAAGCTTTTCACCAGCACTATGGAACTAAACTATAAATCCTAGATAGTCACTAGGATTGTGCAAAACGGCTATGTTTTGTTTCGGTTTTGGATTTGGCCGTTTCGGAGGACAGCGATTTGTTTCAGTGTTTTGGATCACTGTTCCATTTCGATTCAGCCAAATCTGTTTCGGAGTTTCGATGCTGTTTCAGCGCTGATTTGGAGATTTGGATTCAGCTGGGAGAGGCAGGCACAGCCAGGCGGCTGCAGATTCTCCTGTGGCTGTCCCTGCCTCTCCCTGGGTGCGGGAAGCTGCAGGAGAAGCCCCCATAGCTGCCCTGCCCAGCCTGGCATTTTTTTTCTTTTTCTTTTTTTTTTCTTTTTTTTTTTTTTTAA